ATTGGTTGCCCGACAAGTGTGTCTTCTCTCAAACCATGGAAAATGGCAAATGGTTTGTATTCATTGATTTCCTGGTGATTAGTGTTGGATTGATGTGGTATTAACTGATCGTTTGGTTTTTGGTTTTCATATAAGGGGATTATCTCATGAATTCAATGCCGTCACTCATGTCCATGGAGTCGAGATCTCACACATGGAAGACTTGTATCGAGCGGTGGATCAGTTACGAAACAGAGGCCCAAATTTGTATCTAACATTTAACGATTATGATTTTATTACGATCGACAGAAAGCTAATCAATATTAATGCCCACCCTGGTGCTCTTGTTGTCGTTTAAAACACATTTTATATAATTATTTGTATATTAGTTGTAAAACAACTATTTATTTATTAGTTTCTGAATTTTATGGTTGTTTTTTATTGCTTTAATTTGAAATTTTTTATTGGTATTTAAAAATTACATTTTGTTTTTTCTGTTTTCAATTTCGCATTATTTTTTTAATGTAAAATCAATTTTAAAGTTTAACACCATTTTTATATTTAATGTTTAATTAAAAGTTTTTAATTCAAAATTACTTTCTTTTTATACAATTAACAAATTGTTTGCATTTAATTTGTATGGACTGCGAGTGAACCCTAACTTTGAGCACAAAATACGAGACAATTGTATAGAAAACGCATTGAAATATCAATAGACGCCACGACTTATCCAAGTCTTCGTCCATCAGTTGAAACTTATACAATACGGACGATATATGAGTACCGGTCGGACACCGGCCCCGACCGTACAGATAGACCACTAAATATTTAAACGCAAATTTAATCGGCGATAAATTGGTTAAGTGTTGTAATGCGGGTCCGAATTCATACACTGGTATGAAGAATGAGTTGGTTATAGAAATCAAAACACATATGATTATGGCTGCAGAGGCCGTGTGTCGGGGAAAACATATGCTAACCAAATGACAGATCCTTTGTATGGCCACTGAAGCCAATGTTATGGCCACAAAGATCGCGGCCGGCATTGCGTCCAATCGGTCGTAGATATCGATTATAAACGACAGGCAAATATTGGTCACTAAAATGGGTATAATATTGACCAGAAATTTGACCATAAAATACGATTCCACGGAATACCAGCCTATTTGGTATATTATGCAAATTTTACATATTCATATTAAATATACATGTAAATGCTTTAATTTCAAAATTTATATAAATGTAATAAAGTAACATTTTTAAACATACACTTGTACATAAATATATTGTACTTACAGTTATGGCACTGCCGCATGAACAAGGCCAAATCGTTAGTTATTGTAGCGCAACCTAATAGTGTTTGTATTATAAACCACATTGTCATTGAAAAACATAGATAAGACAAGTTATATGCAATCATTTTGTCGCTAAATAAACCATTTGTATGTTGTGGACAACCATCCGTCCCATTGGCACTGATAACTATACAACTGTCCGCCGAATCCAATGGATAATTAAATAACATTTTGCCAAACAATGCCAGTATTAAAGCAAAAGTGATTACAAGCAATATTATGGGCCACTCGTGTCGTCGGAAGTTTGTGACGGCTCTCGACAATAGGTATAGGAATTCAGTGATAGAAAAGTGTTTGAAATGAATGACAATTCCGTCCGAAGAGATATCCAGTTCTGTACGAATCCTTTCAATGTATTTGTTTATTATCTGATTTGTTTTTTGAGACATTACCATCACGTTTTCATCACTGGATCCTTTGGCCGACAGTTTAATGAGTATTTCAATTGGTATTTGGTTTTCATTGCATTGAATATTGCATTGACTTAAATGTGAGCGCAAACCCCGGGGCGGACCCGAGTATATGGCGACCCCTTCTTTGGCCAATATATACAACATATCGAATAACATAAGGATTTCGAGGTTTGGCTAATGTATGGATGCAATCATCGATACATTGTGTTTACGGGACAAACGTTTGAAGCATTTTATCATCTTTTAAGAAATTAACACAAATTATAGTTTAAATAAGTTTTTAAAATAATTTAATACCAAAAGCGCTGAATAGCTGTCGACACCAGAAGTCGGTTCGTCAACACATATAAGGTTTGGTTTGATTTGAGCCGTCATTTCCATCGCTATTACTATCCGTTTTTGTTGACCAGAACTGTATTTAATACCAAAAGCGCTGAATAGCTGTCGACACCAGAAGTCGGTTCGTCAACACATATAAGGTTTGGTTTGATTTGAGCCGTCATTTCCATCGCTATTACTATCCGTTTTTGTTGACCAGAACTGCATTTCTCCACATTTATGGCCGAAATATCATTTAAACACAACTCAGACATCAATTTGTCGGCAATAGACTCGTGATTGACATTACTATTAGTGTCACTATTCTTGAGTTTTGAGGCATAGATAATGGTCTGTCTTGTAGTGATTCCGGCCATAATGTGTTCCCTTTGGTCCTGAGCTATAAAACAGGCCCTGATTTTCGTTTCTTCATTCAAATAGATCTCCGATTGTTTGGTAATCAATGTCTTATTCATGCCATTCAATGCTCTCAATAGTGATGTCTTTCCCGCACCGGACGGACCCATGAGTGCCGTCAAAGACCCGAACTCTACGAATCCTTTAACTGTCCGTAAAATGACTCTTTCCGATGAATACAATGTTTTGTCCACTTTTAGTGTTAAGTCAATCCATGCGATACTAAATGCTTTAGAGGCTATTATAACATCTGATTGTGTACTCAATTCTTGTAATTGTAAATCCGACTCGATTTCATTGTTTTGGTCATTATTTTCATTAATAATTATCATTTCTATAATGTTTTGATTATTTATATCTCTATTATATCTATTACACAAAAATATAGAAAATATTCTTTGCTTCAAAATGTTAACAATATTTAGAAATATATTTGGATTTTTAACAATAATTAAAACAATGAATGTCATTATTTTATAGAAAATTAATTGAATCAATAAATAAGTCATATTTTTAATTATGACGTCATTTTCATTAAAATCAAGATTGTGTTTCAACAACACCTTGGACACTTTACCATCGGTGCAACGATTGAGGCCATAAATGCTAATAAGTAGACCAGGAGTGAAAAAACGTGATGGTACGAAAATTCCTAATGCCTTCATTATATCACCAAGATCAATTAAATAAATTGTCATATCATTAAATAATTGATTCAAATTAATGATCATAAATCCAATTACAAAACACAACTGAGTGTTTGATATGAGGAATAGACATAAATATCCGATTGAATCGCTTATATGTATTGAAATCACGTAAAAGTAAACGAAAGGCCAAAACCTTTTCGATTCATTCAATTGTGAACTCATATTAAATATAATTACGGCTATTATTAAGCCATTAATTGTAACGGGAATTATATTCAGTATGTTTTGTGTCATAAAATATACACCACTGCTATACCAGTCTATATATTTGAGATTAATTCATTAACGAAATTAGATTTTAAAATAAGTTATAATATAAAACTTTAATGACTTAACTATTTCTGTGTTCGGTATTAAATCTGGTGAAAGAATCCAATGATAAAGCAATTGTACAAATGGTTTGCATAAATGATAGCAACCATAAATTGAATAAAATTAACACTAAATTATCTTGAACATTATTATCTGAGTCGAGCTGATCCAGACATGAGGTATGATTGTTTGTTTCATCTGTAGCGTCGATTATAACACAATCGCTATATTGTCCGACATTTTTATCAAAACATTTACAACCCAATAGAGCCGTAAATATCATGATTAGTGAACTGATTGCCAGTCCTTTCCATTTGTAGCGAAATATTTCGCTCAAAGATCTTTTGGCTAAAATCCAGACATCTTTGAGAGAAAATGATTTATTTTTATGTTTAATAAGTTTTGGTTTCGTTTTGTCGACAATAATATCTCTAAATTCATGATTGAATTGACGGGTCGTTTGGTCTCTCAATTGCCGCACATTTTGATCGCTCAGACCTTTGGATGCGATTGGTTTTCACTCCGATGAGCCCAGAGTTGCGCCAAAGGTTGGCCACCTCTTTGAATATACCGGTGGTTCAGGTGCCGGAGCATTGTTTCCTCTCTCAAAACCTGTACGACAGATGGTATGTATCACTTAATGGACGGGCGATTAGTATTGTATGAATGAGGTATTTACTGGTGAATGGTTTTTGGTTGCATTTAATACAGGCATCAATTGCGTGAATTCAGTTTTATCACTCATATCAATCAAGTGGATGTAAACAATATGGATAACTTGTATCTAGCCATGGATCAGTTGCGAAACGGCGGTGAAATTATGTTTACATTGGCGGGCATGGGAAATTTGACAATTGACCACGCTACCGTCAGCGCAGGCACTTTCCGCCCATTTGTTTTGGTTTAAAACACATTTTATCAAATTATTTGTATTTCAATCAACTATTTATTGGATTTTTTAATTTTTATGTGATTTGTTTCTATTGCTTTTATTTGAAACTTTTTTATTGCTATTTAAAAATTAAATTCTGATTTTCTGTTTTTAATTTTTGATTAAAAAATTAATTAAAATTTTCTTTCTTTTAACACAATTAACAAATTGTTTTCATTTAATTTGTATGGACTGCGAGTGAACCCTAACTTTGAGCACAAAATACGAGACAATTGTATAGAAAACTCATTGAAATATCAATAGACGCCACGACTTATCCAAGTCTTCGTCCATCGGTTGTCTCGTCTATAAGACGGACGATATGTGAGTACTGGTCAGACACCGGCCCCGACCTTACAGATACACCCATTGTTACACTATTTCTGATTTAATAATTGATAATTTCATTATTGATAATAATTATAATTCAATTATAGATATAGAAAATTATTAAATCTCGTGAAATATACATTTAAAACTGTTTTGTAAATTATTTTTGATTATCTGTTGAGTAATGTATTGTCAAAGAATGGGTTCTTTGTTTCGAGTATTGATTAATAGGTATTAAAATCTAAAGTGTTTTAAGCCGTGAATTGTTTGCAACAAATTGTTGTCTCATTTAATAGACATTCGGTTCGAGCAGTGATTCCAGCGATTGGTCTCTCGTTTGCATTGAATGAGTGGTCAGACAAGCAGTGGTCAGACAAGCAGTGGTCAGACAAGCAGTGGTCGAGACAATGGTTGAGCACAAACAGAGCTCACATGATGTCAAATCGTGGATCAGATTCTTTAGGACTATCATTTGATACAAGCAGTTCTACACCACAAACAATGCATCCATTTAATGATGAGTGGTTTAAACCGTTTGTGGCGATAACACCAGTGTTTGACAAGTCAGAGCACCCGACAAACCCCACCCAACCCCTGAAGTACCGGTTGGGCTCTGGTTTCATATACGACAAGAGAGGGCTAGTGTTAACTCACAAGAGAAATTGCAAGACATATGAGAAATTTATTATACGTTTGGGTGACGGGACACAAGTGATGGGCACCGTTAGGACCATAAATAAAGATTACAGACTGGCAGTCATACAAGTGGAGGGCAATCGCGACGACTGGCCAACTGTCAGCATCACTAACCAGACGCCCGACATGTTTGACACGGTTCTAGTGGTCAACAATCCGGGCCCCGGTCTCTACAATCATGTGACCGAAGGTATGGTCACGTGTGCCGAGCGGGAAGGTTCCCATATCTCCGTTCTGGCCAATCGGGTGGACAAAGATCCGACCTTTCAACACATGACTGACCGCAAGTATATCCAACACACGGCCTCAATCAGCTCCGGCGACAAAGGGACAGCTCTGGTCACACCCGACGGACATGTGATCGCCATTAACTTTATGTTTCACAAATATCGGCTCCATTACGCTATTCCCATACAGCAGGCCATTGGTATGCATTCCATTGTCGACCCCATAGCCCACCACTACTTCACTTATAAACGAATATATCTTATAATTTAGATCTTATGACAAGTTTTGCCGAAGAAAAGGCGCCGATTCTGGGGCTCATTGTCTCTGAGATGACTGACGAGAAACGCTTATTGATTGCCACCAACTTAGGTATATCAGTGGATTGGTTGCCCGACAAGTGTG